TGATATTGTTCTTGCCTCCCTTTGATTTCTTGAATTATGTCAACTTCGCCTCCTTCAATTATGTATTGAAATCGCCTCCCAAAAGTGGTCTTTAGGGTTGTATTTATATCATTATGAAATCTTGGAAAGGTTGAAGTTGGATTGGGCCACGAAAAGAGTCCAAAAAAATCAAAAACCTATTTCTCACACAGGAAGCGTTGCAGTACAGCGAATTCTATTGTTTCAGTAATGTGGGCCCTGCGGCTCCAAAAGCCAGCGCTGCGGTGCCCATCTTCGGGTGGGAAAATTGTGATGTGCGTGTTTCAATATTTTTATCGTAACTTTTTCTCCTTCTATCAGATTGAGGTAATTCAAGATGCTTTGGAAAAATAACTCAAAGGGCTATAACTTTGCTTCAGATATCATTTTTCAATTCAAATGTTTGCTATGTAAAAAATGAGTCTCAATATAAGATTATAAATTTGGAGCATAACTTTTTCGGTTGAAAAATGATGCGTGATCATACTTTGACTATATTTGATCTTTGAATTTTTTCCTCATCCAATTGACTCTAAACACTCTCGAATCTTCATTGTGAGGTCCGACATAACTTTTGAATATTTTCACTTTAGTCCCCAAACTTGAATCTCTTACAATTTAGCAATTTTCTCCAATTTTGCCAACTCTACTTATTTCCTTCAATTTCATCAACATATATCACAACATCAAAACACACATTAAAACTTTCTAAAACTCGTAGAAATAAGTTAAATATCAAGTTTAGAGGATATCTAAAGTATGAATGAAATGTACTCATCAGTTATCATAGTGTCTTATATGAGGACAATCATACTTTTGCAATGTTGGATGTTATTCTGTTAAGGGTCGGTAATACAATATCGTTCGACTATATCAAGAATCATATAAAGGTTGTGAATGATCAATAGTGAATTCGTCACTCTTAGATAGTAAGAGATTATTATCTACATTTTATCTAGTTTAGTTGATAATGAAATCCTTAGCCAATGTGAATTTATAAGTCGAAAGGGAGTTTTCAACTTACATTGACTTAAGAGTGGGATAAAAGATATGATCGATAATTGAGATTGACACATATCCATATTTCATAATTGATCGGCTCATATTGATGAAATGATTATAGTTTCGCGGTATACGAACAAGTTTGGTTTTGTCATACCACGTGATATTACCCGTTACATGTATTGCCCTAACACATTATTAGATATCAATTTGGGACGA